ATGAGCATTGAATTTCTTTAATGTTGATATTGCAGTATCATAAAGCAAGAAAATCGTCTCATATTTAGCAGAAATGAGATAATATTGCAATTCCCAATCCTCATTAAAAAACCTGTTTTCTTCCTTTATTGTTCTCTTGGTCTTCTTTGACATCATGGGCTGTTCAGCAGACAGAATTAAAAAATACTGTCGAGCTGTGTAACGATTCAAAAATTCCACGTTAAACAGAAACACAGGGCTCTGTTGTCAAAACCTGATAACAAACTGGTATATTCGACCCCCATAAACGATTGACAACCAGCCTCGTGCGGTAGTGGCACCAGTTAGGCGGGGGAAGTTAGAACTAAATCATGAGTGTAGCAGCTATCGATTTAGCCCTTATGGCTGACTAATGTTCTAATTGTGCTGGTAAAACCGGGAGGATTATTTCATTGAAACTTGTTTTATTGTTTGGTATTTTAAATATGTTCATTTTAACAATAAAATAAAAATGTAAAAGAGGGACAAAAATGTATTAATAAAAGTAAAAGGATTTATTCTGTAAAATTTTGATTCAGTCAAAAGGCTGCACTTAAGAACCTAGAAGGCCACAGGTTCCCCACTCCTGACCTAGATCTTTCCACCTATCTGATCTGTCATTATCTGCATGTGAGCTAGCTCCCTTCATGGTCACAAAATTGCTGTGGCAGCTCCAGGCATCGCATCCTCACACAAGACCAAAAGCCAGTAAAGTAGAGGGCACATAATCTTCTTGAAGCAGCCCCTTATCCCCCTTTTAACGATTAGAATACTTGGTTTATTGGGGGAAAAATAATAATGAAACTGCAGTTGTTCATTCTGTAACTTATAAAATAATACTTTGATATGTAAAAAGAATTGTTTTTCAGCATCTAAGTACAAATGGTTTTAAAAAAATCATCTGATATCTCACATATGTGCCATTCTGAGAAACTCACATCTCTGAATTCTCCTGTTGAGTGTTTTACATCAGACCTTTTAAATCTGTTTACCAAGAAAGGCAAGGTTTTACTATACGTAGGTTTCTACTTACAGTTGTAATCTATTGGAGGCTGTGCTTGTGTGATTAGAGCCCATTTAAACCTGAGATGAAAAAAAATCAAGCCATTTCTTCTCCTTGGGCTGTTTTAATGGCACTTTTGTGATAGGAAAGGCACTCCCAGTGGCTTCCTATACAACCTAATCATATCTACCAGTCATGATGAATTGGACCCAGTCCATCTTTCAATCTGATCTGCTCTGGTTCTGAACTTGGAGACACAAAACAGTACAGATTTATTAACATAGCGTTTTCTCGCACCCTAAACCCTATAAACCCACTTTAAAAGAGAAAATTTCATTTTAACATTTCACTACTTAAGGAAGCTTTACTACTGCTCTCGGCTTTGACCATGAAAGAATACTGTCCTAGGTGCCATACCAAGTTAACAGAAAGCTTAGCAAAAAAAAAAAAAAAAGAAAGAAAAAAATCAATCATTCAGGACATTAGTTAGAAATTTTCAAAAATGATATACATGTAGGAAATTATTTCACTTCTTTAAATAGCTGAAGGCTTGAAAACATATATCTATTTTGCATTTCTTTTAGAATGTTTGGTCACTGACAATTTTTACCAATATCTCCGTTTTCTCCATAGCCTCTTAATAGACCCAGTCTGTTCCATATGGGAAATAAACAAAAACTGGATCAGATTATTAAATCTTGGAAGCCTTCTCATTTTTACCTTATAAATTGGCAAGTTTCCTATTCATATTCTTTTACAAATGCAGTATAATTGTTGTGAATAGTATAAGAAAATGTCGGCATATTACAGGTAATTAGTGAAAAATCTTTAACTCCATGAAACACATAAAAGAAGGATACGAAACTATAACACTACTTAAGAAATATTTTCTCCCAAAAATTATGTCAGCATTTTTGACTAGTTTAGTAATGTGAACATTGTAAAAAAAAAAAAAAAATAGGTTTAAAGTAGCCTGGGGAAACAGTTTCTTCCTCTGGAATCTCTCTTGGCGGCTGTAGTTTTCTTCTGCTTTCATTTCCCACGTTAGGCGGATGTGAAGTACCTGGGCATGGCGTTGCCCAGGGGGTCGTCTTTGGAGTTGGGGAGGCAGCAGCAGGGGAAGTCACAGGTATCAGGATAATCGAGGCCGGCCACCCGAAGCTGTAGGTCCAGTTACAGAAGCAGGTGACAGCGGGGTTGGCGGGAAGGCTGAGGTCAGGGAGATGACCTGGAACACAGCAGGCGGGGCGAGGTCCTCAACCGCTCCTAGGAAGATAGCACTCGGGGTCCACGGAGGGCAAGGAAGGAGAGGATGGAACAGGTCGCCAGGGCGACCGAGCCACGGGAGAGCACGGCAGCTGCTCCTCCCCACAAGTTCCCCAGGAGGCCTTGGCAGCCGCCCTTGTGGAAGCGTCTCTACCCCAGCAAGGACGTCTGGATGTGGTCGTTCACCTGCAGCCAGTGTGGCCAGCTCGGCGACATCCAAGGGGATGATGTGGAGCAGGAGCAATGGGCCAGGCTGCCCTGCAGCAAGTCCACGTGGTGCATGTGCTCTGACGGCAGCTGAGAGTGGGGTGAAGCCTTTTTTCTTTCTTTCTTTTTATTGAGACAGTCTCAATCTGTCGCCCCAGCTAGAATGCAGTGGCATCATCACAGCTCACTGCAACCTCGGACTCCTGGGCTCAAGCAGTCCTCTTGCCTCAGCCTCCCAAGTAGCTGGGACTACAGGCACATACCCCCCACATCCAGCTAATTTTTCTATATTTAGTAGAGATGGGGTCTCACTGTAGCTCATGCTGGTCTCAAACTCCTGGCCTCAAGTAATCCTCCTGCCTCAGCCTCCCAAAGCTTCCAGACCCTCACATCTTAGATTGGCAACTTTATCAAATGCTATTTTAAACCAATCAGTGATAGACGGGATCAGATTATGGATTGATTTAGATTAATCAAGATGTATCTCCATGAAGCTGGGAGGGTGCAGCTTCCCCTAAACCTGAATAAAATCATGGTCTTATTAGTAAGGAAGCAGAGTAGGGGTGAAGGGCTAAGGTGCCTGCAACCAATGATGTCTGCCCTAAGCACTCTCTTAATTTTCTCGCAGTAATAGTCACTCTGTGTGGAGTATACAGTTCTATGGGTTTTGATGAATGCATAGAATTGTGTAAGCACCACCACTGCAATCAAGATAGGAACAAGTGTAATATGAAGGGTGGGTAGGTTTGTGATCAACCAGCATGGATTTACTATTGTGGCACAAACAAGCAAGAGGGAGGGTCATGGTTCTTACACCTTTGCCCTTTACAAACGCACTTCCGGGAGGGTGACCAGGCAATTCCTAAGTCTAACATAGGGAGTTGCAGACAGCACGCTAGGGGGTTTGAAGAAAGGAGGGATTTCCACCAGGGAGCCGTGGCCTGCCTTGTCCTTAGGGCCATTTACGGTTCCCAGGGTGCCTTGCTCAAGTGGCCATCAGAAAGCCCATCTCTTTTCGCTGCACTGTCGTGGACCCAAGGGTGTATTTTGTTCCGCAGGGCTCACAGCTATCCCTCAGCTAGCTAGCCTGGGGTATTCAGACCCTCTGTCCCGATTCAGGACATGTTTCCATTCCAAAGAGGAGGCTGAGTCTTCAGAGGGCCTCATTCCAGGACTGGCTGGCTCAGGATGGCGTGGTGGGAGCTCGGGTTTGCCTTTCGATCTTTATTACGGCAGGTGGATGATGCCGATGAACTATTGTAGAAGACAGGCATGGCCACCGTGTTTGAACACAACAAACTCTTTGGACACAGCAAGGAATATAGTAAAATAAGATAATGATTATAACAAGCACGGCAAACACAGTAGCTAACATTTACAAACCAAAAAGACTGTCCAGCGAGAGCAGCTTTTCAGCCCCGTTCAACAATACTTACAGTGTTTAGAGTCCCATGAATGAGCCCAACTGTGGCTAAAACAACAGTCATCTAACCCGGGTTGCTTTCTTCCAGAGAGCTGGCGCCAAGGCTTGTCTTTACTGCCCAGGGCCAGGGCTGGCCTGTAGAATGCCTTTGTGCAAAGTAGAAAGAGTCTGCCCCTCTCTAGGATGCTTTATTTCCATCTCTTGGGAAATTGTTGTAATATGCTATACAATTTTAATAGGCAGCATCCAAATCCGAATCGTCAGTATCCAGATCCTTGAGGCATGGACTCTGAATGTCGTCTCCTAGGATGGTGCAGTGCAACCACAAGCCGTAAATGGTCACCTCAGGGCCCAGTTATTTTGGGGATGAGACTACAAGACCCGTTGTCTCACACATGTAGCAGTTCTGGGTCAGTGGTTTAGAGGATGCTTGGCGGTTTATTAATTTACTCATTCAACATTTATAGGGTGGTTAGTATATGCTAGGCACAGTGCTAAGTGCTTTAAGAGCATTATCCCATTTAATCTTTGCAAAATAACTGAACGGGGTAAAAGGTTTATTCCTATTTTACAGACTAGGAAGTCAAAGTTTAGAGAGCTTATAGCTTATATGATATGCCCTAATTCACGTGGCTTGTGCAAGAGCTTACCTAGAATCCTCAGGGAGCTGATACTAAAGTTACCACTCTGCTTCCTAGATATATACTCTGAATACACTGTGTATTTATGTATATACATTTTGTTTTTTGCATGTGCTAATCCTGTTGGAATTGATGTTGGTATTTTTTTTAAGACAGAGTCTCACTCTGTTGCCTTGGCCAGAGTGCTGTGGCATCAGCCTAGCTCACAGCAATCTCAAAACTCCTGGGCTCAAGCTATCCTCCTGCCTCAGCCTCCCTAGTAGCTGGGACTACAGGCAAATGCCACCACACACAGCTAATTTTTTCTATTTTTTAACAGAGACGGGGGCTCACTCTTGCTGAGGCTGGTCTCGAACTCCTGACCTCAAGCAATCTTCCCACTTCGGCCTCCCAGAGTGCTAGGATTACAGGCGTGAGCCACCTTGCCTGGCTGGTATTGGTAATTCTTATGGTCTTTCATCTTACTGTATCTCTTTATTTTAATATATATTTGTTGGGTTTCTCAGGGAAAAAAGGAGGGGCCCTGTGATACTTAAGGTGCTACAGAATGATGTGAACACAGTAAAAACTGCAAATATTAAGGGAGAATCTGTCTTTTCAGACCAAATGACTGAACACCATGCAAGTAACTGCTTCAGCAATAGAGGTGCATTGCGTGGCGCCTCTGTGTCGCTTGCTTCAGTCGGGGGACCGTGTGCTTTTGCTCAATTCGCCCTCCGAATTGGAAGCATGTTGGCAAAGATTCAGGTCCGAGAGACTGAGCTTCCACAGTGATAATCCTCAGACTCTTTGGAGAGGTGGTGTGGCAGCTTCCTCCCAAGCACATGCCAAAGAGGAACCTAGTGGCCAAAGCCCATGTTTTTCTTTCTCTTTGACTTTCCGTAGTCAAGGGAGCACAGCTTTTGGCCCAATAAACACTCTTGCTGAGGGCCTGCCGTCTTGCCTTCTTCTTTGAGGAAGTGGATTGAAGTGAATGAGGACTGAAAAATTTTGCCCAACAGCTTTTTGTTTGGTTTTCTTACAAGAAAGATTCTTAATTTAACTGATTTCCTTCCTAATTAGATTTAGCGGTTAGGGCTGCCCATTAACCCAGAGTTTGCCTGCGCAAATCTCATCCTCCATCACGGCTGCCTGGCTTGCAGCACCACAGCTGTGTAATTGGCAGTTAAATCCACATCTGCTGCTCAAACAGAGGAGACGCACACAGCCAAACCCAGGTGGCTGGCTCTGCTATCCAGTCGGATTCAAAAAGCAAGGACGACTCTGGGGTGAGGGGAAGAGGAACAGGATAACCTGGGATGTCTAGGCTCCCACAAGTCATTCATTTAACAAATATTTATTAAGTACTTAATATCTGCAGGGCACTGTTTTAAGCACTGGGGATACAGTAATAACCAAAGCAGACAAGATCCCTGCACTTTGCGGAGGATACCAGAGATGAATAATTGTATGATATGCCAGATAACCATATTGTGGAAATATTGTGATCTAGGCATATGTATTTAAAAAACACACACACACCCCTCTGATTCTGTGTGCTGGTGCCAAGTGCTCTGGTATCATAGTGGAGGAAGAAATTTATTTTGCATGGAAGATTTTGGCAAGTAGTGAGACTTCGGCTGGCCCCTGAAGAAAGCTTAGGTCAGGTGAATTGCTGTAGTGCAGGGAAGTGAGGAGAAAATGCTCCCCAGGGTTTGTGACACACGTCAGCAGGGGTCCAGGAGAGAGGACAGAGGGTGTGCAAAGCAGATCGAGGGAGCTGAGTAGCAGACTCCTGCCTCAACAGAGGGTGGGATGGCGGGTGGAACAGGGGCTGGGCTGGAAAGTACTTTGAGGCTACGCAAGGGAGGATTTTGACTGCCAGGCAGGAGTATGGGTTGGATTCTGCATGCAGGGGGCGTTATGAGTGTTTTGGGCAGGGAGTGCCCCGGGCAGATGTGTTTACACGTGCAATGCTGGAAGCTGGATGCCTCATCCGGGTGCAGGGAGACACCTGGGGTGAAGCTGGCCCTTGTGGCTGGCACCTAGTGGCACTGAGACCAGAAGAGTCTTTGGTTTTTCATTATGTAACAGGAGGTATTTTCTTATGACTCAGATTATTCAGGAAAACAAGCTAGATCATCTTCTTTCCCTAGACTTTTGCATTCAAACATGACCATGCCTTCATTCCCAAGTTCAAGGACAGTAAACTGAGATTCTGAGAGACTCACAGCCTCTTCCTTTTATAGCTGTAGTTGGGCAACTTGGGAGCCTCGACACTTGATCTCTATGGATGACTGTTACTGATTGCTTGCATGGAGCCTCAGTAAGGCTTGCATTAATTGGTGTGACTTGTGTTCTTCTCTTGACAAATTGCACATAGATGGGCAGAGGAGTTTTGGAAAGGGGTGAATCCCACCACCTTCATTCTCCTGCTGTTGCAATTTACCCTCATGGATCAAAAGTAACCCAGAGAGCCCTAAAGAGAAGAGAAGCAGTGCAAGTGGTCGTTTCACAAGTTTTTGTTGCTATCATGTCCCCACTGACTTTGCTGACTCAGCCAACAAAGACATTTGGTTCACCTGTATTCGCAGGAAAACACTTTCCATTCCCTTATTCTTCTTCCACATTTCCCTTCCCTGCAGGCACTAGGTTCCTTCACCTCCCTCACTCTCTGCTGGTATTTATGGTGCCTGGAAGGGAAGAACAGCGATGCTTAAGCAGCGGCGGTGTTGAGACATTCCTGCCACACCACGCACACGATGCGAATCTTCCGCCATCTTTCCTCAAAGTCTTGAGTGAAACGTCCGTTTCTCAGAAATGCTTTGTGGAGCCGGCTCTGGCACTTTGGCCAGTTTCTTGGCGGGGGCGTTACAGAAGGACGATGGGAGTGGGTTCCCCGCCTCCGCCTCTGGGGCCCGGCAGTCCCGGCTCCTGTTCTCTTCCCAGGGCTCAGTGGTGGAAACCCGGAGCCAGGCGAGGAGGCCGGCAAAGACCCGGAAGTGAACGCCGATGCCCCGGAAGTGCACAGCCTCCTCGCCAGGCTGCGGCCTTCGCTTGCTTCCCACAGTCCCTTCAGTCAGTCAGCAACAGCGCCGGGAACCTCAGAATTGTGGCCCAATTTGGCTCCACCTGCGTGCCTTCTCTCCGTCGAGGGTATGTTTCCCCCTTAAAAAAACACGTAATGTTTTAAAAACTATATTGTTTTAAAATTGCTTCATGGGGAGGGCTTGGGCTGCCGCAGGGAGGGCGGCCTGGGAGCCCCAGAGGGTGGAGACTGATGGAATCCAAGCCGTCCCCGCCACGCCAGGGCCCTGGTGGGGACAGCTTGGGCTGTGTGTTAGTCACACTCCCTAAAAAACAAAAAAGACCCCCCCAAAAACAAAGAAAACAAGTTTATTGGTCATTTTTGTCCCTTCAGATGCTCTGTGGTAAATAAACCTTTCAGAGCCTCCCAGGCCCCGGCAAGGCAGCGTGGGGCAGCGGGAAGACTCCCAGCCCTGCGTTCCACTCCTGGCTCCCCCTCTTCCCAGCCTGCCACCTCGAGCAAGTCACTTCAGCTCTCTGAGCCTCAGGTCTTCATCTATAAATCGAGGCTCCTGAGTCCCTAGTTCAAGGGCATGTCGCGAGGAAGCAAGGCCTTTAGAACCCCCTGCTGAGATCCGTAAGTACTGTGTGTACATTTAGGTTAAATGCCAGGAAAGGAGGCGGGGCTTCTCAAAAAGAGAAAGAGCTTTCAAACACAGAGGTGGCACGAAGAGGGAAATGCTCTCTAGAAAAATATTACTGAACTAGAGATGGAGCTCATGCCCCCACAGACAAGAGCATAGGGCCAGGCCTCAACCTTCACCCTGCAGAGAGCAAGGGCAGAAGGGAGGGCGCTGGGGAAGATTTGCAGTGTTGCTGTCATCGTTTCCTTTCCCAGTGTCATTGTTCACTTGTGGAAGCTGCACTTGGATTTGGTGGAGAGTATGTGATAACTGCAGACCAGGAAAGTCATGGTTGTACATGTGTAGGGAGTTGGGTTTGAACAGGTGACCTGAGTGCCATAGAGAAGGAGCTGCCTGACGCTAGGGGTGTCCTATGCGCCGTGAGCAGGTCACCTGTGAGCAGGTGACCTCGTGTAGGGACGGCCTTTGGAGAAGCTTAGAGATAGCAGCTTGGGCACTCTGGAAGGCCGAGGCGGTAGGATCGCTCAAGGTCAGGAGCTCGAAACCAGCCTGAACAAGAGTGAGATCCCGTCTCTACTAAAAATAGAAAGAAATTAATTGGCCAACTAAAAATATATAGAAAAAAATAGCCGGGCATGGTGGCGCATGCCTGTAGTCCCAGCTACTCAGGAGGCTGAGGCAGAAGGATCGCTTGAGCCAAGGAGTTTGAGGTTGCTGTGAGCTAGGCCGACACCACGGCACTCTATCCCAGGCAACAGAGTGAGACTCTGTCTTTAAAAAAAAAAAAAAAAAAAAGGAAATAGCAGCTTGGCCAGGCTCTTTCCTCAACTCTCTCGCACGCACAGTCTCCTGGCCACGTCAGCACAGCCTCCAGTGCTGAGCGCAAAGGATGTGTGGCACATGCAATCATTTTAGAAAGCCGGCCCATTTCCATTGTGAATAATCGTGATCGTGAGAGTGAAGGAGAAAGGTAATGCCACATTTGAAACTACTAAACGGCTGTGATTCATTTTTGGTCTCTTTATTAAGAAGCCCATCTCACTTAGATAATTTGCAGCAAAGTTTTACCCTGGAGCAAGTTTCTTCAGTCATGTTAAATTCATGGGGAAAATCCTCCTAGGATTTAGAACTGAAAAATAGCTTCAATCACGGAAACACCGATGTAACGAGCAGGGAAAGGCAGCATGTTCTAATCATTTAGGGGAAAAATGGGTAAGATGTTACTAATAAGCCGTGCTATATTTTTATGCTGCCGTTTTCTTCATCTGAAGGAATATGGAGATGAGCTTTTAAATTCTGAATGATTACCTGGCAGCTTCCGTCTCTAGGGCAAATTATGAGCAGTGGTTTTATTTTGCTATTATATTACCTTTACTGAAAACTCAGAGGACACGTGCTTACCAGAGCACAAGAAGTAAGATGAGAGTGCGGTCAATAGAACTGGGGAATCCGGCCTTTCTCGATTCCCTTTCACGACCTTTTGGGACACTGACCCCATGGGCTGGGAGTAGGGGTTGGCCGGGCCTATGGCACCTCCCTGGATAAGGTCTCGACCTAAATCCGCAGCCCCACCTCCCACTCTTCCATCTCCCCCATCCAACCACGTACCGTGTTCCAGCCATGCCCAACTGCCCACTGGTTCCCAAGCAGGCCAGCCTTTTGAACATGCTTCTGAGACTCCTCTTCACTCTGACTTTCTTTGGAAAGCTTTCCAACCTCGTGCAAGGTCTGTGGCATCTTCTGCTCTCCATAGTACCAGTACCTGCCTCGACTGTGGAACTTAGTAGACTGGAATTGTTAGTTTGCAGTCTTACTCTCTTCCACCTAGTATCCCAGAGAGGGCAGGGACGTCATCTCAGACCCCGGTACCCTCCAGCCTAAGGTTTCTCAATAGCGGCAATATTCACATACTGGGCTGCAAAATTATTTGTTGTATGTGTGTGGGGGGGATTATTCTGTGCATTGAAGGATGTTTAGTAGCATCTCTGGCATCTACCCTTTAAAAGCCAGCAGCAACTACCTCAAGGGGGACAATTAAAAAACATGTCCAGACATCATTCAATGCCTCCTGGGGGACAAACCGCCCCAGGTTGAGAAGCACTGCTCTAGCCCTAACAGAGCGCCTGATATATTCTAGGTGTTCACTGCATACTTGCTGAATTAATAAATCAATGCCCAAATTAACAAATAAAAGGCTGAAGGAATCAAATGAATAAAGACCTCCCTGTAGCTTTCACACACTCATCAAAGCAAACTTGGAATCTCTATTCCAGCTCTATTTTCTTCCTTTCTCTCATACCCTTGGCTCTCACCTGGGGCTCTCTCACATTCACATGCTTCGTTTTCCTTTCCATCCATCCAAATCCTGTACTTACATCAAGACAAAGAACAACTTACCTATTTCAAAAAGCCTTTCCCATTTACTTGAATTCATTCATACAGGAACACACACATATATATGGAGATACATATACATGTATTCTTTTTGGTCTTAGAACTATTTATAGGTTGGTGCAAAAGTAATTGTGGTTTTAGCATTGTTAAAATTTGCCCTTTGATAATGAAATATGTTCTTAAATGTGGTTATGTTATACATCATTTTAATGCACATTTATCTTATTTTTTTTGCTAATGAGTTATTACTTCCTGTTTATTTCGTATTTATTTTAGACTAAGGACATGATGTTAGACAAAAAGTAAAATCAAGCGATTTTCTTATTCAATTTCAAAAAACGGGTCGTAAAGCCCAGAGACAACTCGCAACATCAACAACGCATTGGCCCAGGAACTGCTAATGAACATACAGTGCAGTGGTGGTTCAAGAAGTTTTGTAAAGGACATGAGAGCATTGAAGATGAGGAATGCAGTGGCTGGCCATCAGAAGTTGACAAGTCGATAAGTGGATGCCTCATGAGCTTACCAAAAATTTAAAAAAATCATTGTTTTGAAGTCTTGTTTTCTCTCATTGTATGCGACAATGAACCATTTCTTGGTCGGATTGTGATGTGTGATGAAAAGTGGGTTTTATACGACAAGCGGCAATGACCAGCTCAGTGTGTGGACCAAGAAGCAGCTCCAAAGCTGCTTCCTAAAGCCAAACTTGCACCAATAAAAGGTCCTGGTCACTGTTTGGTCTGATCCACTACAGCTTTCTGAATCCCAGCAAAACCATGACATTGGAGAAGTACGCTCAGCAAATCAATGAGCTGCCCCGAAAACTGCAACACCTGCAGTTGGCATTAGTCAACAGAAAGGGCCCAATTCTTCTCGATGACAACGCCTGACTGCACATCACACATCCAAGGCTTCAAAAGTTGAACAAATTGGACTACAAAGGTTTGCTTCATCTGCCATATTCACCTGACCTCTCGCCAACCCACTACCACTTCTTCAAGCATCTTGGCAACTTTTTGCAGGGAAAAATGCTTCCACAGCCAGCAGGATGCAAAAGTGCTTTCCAAGAGTTCCTGGAATCCCAAAACAGATTTTTATGGTACAGGAATAAACAAACTTACTTCTCGTTGGCAAAAATGCGTTGATTGTAATGGTTCCTATATTGATAAATAAAGATGTCTTTGAGCCTAGTTATAATGATTTAGAATTCACTGGTTCAAAACCACAATTTTGCAACAACCTAAATATTATCTTTTTGTTTCATAGATATGAATAGATACCTTCCTCTCAACCAGAGTGAATCACTCCTTGATAGAAGAAAGGGCTTATCCCTTTAAGTTTTTTCTTTCCCTTGGCACTATTGCAAACTTTATGAAAAACAGGTATTTAGCTTTTGCTTAAAGTGTATTTTTGCTTTAAGCAACCAGCAGGTGTGATAAATCCGTGTAATTTGTTTGATCCTGACATAGCTTTGTTTTTTAAGAGGCACAGGGCTAATTCTTTAATATCCTGTAGTTTTTCATAAACTCATTTCAAGGAGGCTCTGCAAATATGAATAAAAGTAATGTGCAATGTTTCAGGGTTTCTGTGAAGGCACTAAATATGATAAGCAATGGGGAGAACAAGAATGGCTGAATTTTGTCTTAAATTCTGACTGTGCTCAAACTCCACTAAGGCTTCTTTTTCTATTGCTTTGTAAAACTATGCTAACTTCTCATTTAATGATGCTGGTAAGTTCTTGAAACTGCCACTTTAAGTGGAACAATATATAAAATAACCAGGCTGGTTTTCTCATAGGCTAATTGATAGAAACAGGAGTCAAGTTCCCATGGCATATTTCTGATCAGAAAAACATCACCAAAACACTTCTAATATTAAACAAGGAAATCAGGCCGGGCGCGGTGGCTCATGCCTGTAATCCTAGCACTCTGGAAGGCCAAGGCAGGTAGATCACTCGAGGTCAGGAGTTCGAAACCAGCCTGAGCAAGAGCGAGACCTCCGTCTCTACTGCAAATAGAAATTAATTGGCCAACTAATGTGTGTGTGTGTATATATATATATATATATATATAAAATTAGCCAGGCATGGTGGCGCATGCCTGTAGTCTCAGCTACTCGGGAGGCTGAGGCAGGAGAATTGCTTGAGCCCAGGAGTTTGAGGTTGCTGTGAGCTAGGCTGACGCCACGGCACTCACTCTAGCCTGGGCAACAAAGTGAGACTCTATCTCAAAAAAACCACAAAAAAACATGAAAACCAAAGTGAGTTATATGTACATTAAGATAATCAAAACAAGTGAGATAATTTACCCAGTTATTCCAGTTCGGGGTTCAGGGTGGCCAGAACCTATTCCTGAGGTTGCAAGGCAGGAACTGACCCTGGCCAGGGTGCTGTCCCATCTCAGGGCACAGTCACACAACACCCTCACTCACTCATGCTGGGCCCATGCAGACATGCCAATGAACCTAACATTTACGGCTTTGGGATGTGGGAGGAAAGCAGAGTATCCGAAGAATACCCACACAGACATGGGGGCAATGTGCAAACTCCACAAAGACAGTGGCGCCAGTGGGAATTGTTTTTTTTTTTTTCTCATCAACGTTATAAACAGCATTGATGAAACGCTATTCAAGGACCTGCTGTGCATTAAAAACTTCAGCCCTCCTAGTTTATTCTATACTCTCTAAACACGCAAGCATCCCTTGCGCCCCTCCTTTGGGCACATGCACAGTGACTCCTGCATAGGCTGCTTTTTCCAACGTGGGTGTTTGGAAATTTCCTCACTCCTAATCCACAGAGCGTTTCTCAAGTTGTTCTTGGAAGAGTGCATGCTTTATCCATGTGTGTTCTTCCCGTGGGCACCTGAGCCTCATTGTTCAGTGGGTCCCCATCTTGTGACAGGTTAAATACAGAGTAGGCAACTGGAATGGGGTAGGGAAAAACATTTCAAGCTTCACCATTGATCTTTGCAGCCCTTAATAAAAAGGTGAAAGAATGCTTTTGTTCAAATCCTTTAAATTAAATCTTTGGCACATCAGCCTCTTGAAGCTTAAGTCTCTCCAGAGTTCCAAAGGTTCAGGCTTTCCATTTATTCCTGATGTACCCTAGTCTCCTCTGTGCCTACTCAGCCCTCCCATTTAAAATACAAACCCCAAACACTTCCTTTGACCCTGCCTCCCCATGAAATACCATCTCCTTGATTTATCACATCCTCATCCTTGTCTTACATTTGTGTACAGCTCACTGTGATCTGGCACCCTTGTGGTAGCCCCTCATTTCTGAAAATTCACCCACACTTTCTTGGGTACCAGGACCTCCTAATATTGCCACATTTTGTAGCTTTCCTGGGGCTCTGCCCCCTTGGTTTTGCTGCAGCCCTTAACGTAGCTGACCTGCTGCCTCTCTGAATGTCTCCTGGCTTAGCTTTTTCTTGACTTCTCACATCTCATTGTCTGTTCTTTCTCAAACTCCTTCATCATCTCACTGTCTACTTTAGGTGTAGGTCATTTCAGGAATCCATTTTCAGCTTTATTCTTTCCCTCCTTTAATACTCCTGTAGGTAATTTCTTATATTATTATGTCTTCAAATATCAATTAAATGTAATGGTCACCAAGCGCTTCTCCTTACCTGTACCATCCTCTGGAAGTTCCAAACCAAGTTTTCAATTGACTCCAGGCTCACCCATTACCAAGCCTCTCAAATGCAACATGTCCAAACACCATGGAATTCCCTTCCTAACCCTCCTTGGCTTGCTCCCTTGCTTGTCCCTCTGTTAAAGACTATTCCAACCTAGAAATAGAATTTTTATATTTATATTTTTAAAAAGATGTTCATTTATTTATTTATTTATCTTTTAGAGACAGGGTTCCACTCTGTTGCCCGGGGTAATTTTGTTTTGTAGAGACAGGGTCTTGAACTCATGGCCTCAAATATCCTCCTGCCTTGGCATCCCAAAGTGCTGGGATTTTAAGAATGAGCCACTCTACCTGACCAGAAACAAAATTGTTATATGATTTGTCTGTCCCACTAATGCTGACCATACTTCTGAAGTCTTTTTAAACTGTCTCGGTCTTTTCATGTTGATGGATGGTCTAGTTCTCCTCCTGCTCTTGTACATTTTCCTCCTGTTAGGAGTTCTCTGTGCAAGAGGCAGAACTGACTGTCATCCCTGTCCCAAAAGTTCTTTGTTCTGAAGGCAGTGGAGAACCAAGTCCATAATGAACCTGGAATTCAAGATTTCCCACCACTGTGACTCTACGTGTTTCCTCAGAGCCTAATTTCTTACCACTACATTAATATGCAGTTATGGGCTGGTCATATACTTTCTTTTTCCAACCAGAATGTCAAGACCCTAAGCAGAATTAGTCACTACCCCCTGTGCCTCCACAACACTTCCCTTCCGGTTGTATTTTGCCACCACGTACTACAGTCACTGAACTTAAGGAGACCATATGGTCTAGTGGGGTGACCAAGATGCAATCTTATCTATTTGTTAACGTCTCATCCATCCACCCTTCCATCCATCTTGGCTAGCATTTTGAGGCTGCCATGCCTAAGATCCCTTCCCGTGCTAATATTCTAGGATTCTGAATATGATCTAACATCTATACAGAGATAATACTATACTTCATGGGCTAAATATACAATATAGGCATCCTGAATCATTCATGTCTCAATGGCTGTTAAATTTCCAGGGCTTAATGACAGCTTAGTAGGTGCTCAATAAACGAGTTAATTCCCAGTAGTTGATGAGGACTGATTTAGATATAGGTATAGTGGAAAACAAATCCCCCTGCCTTCAATTTTTTTAAAAAAATGCACTTCATTCAACTGCTACAGATAATTATCAGTTATGTACATAACGTTCAACATTCCCTACTCCACAAAGCATTTCATGAGCAACACTGACGAGCACACAGTGGCGTGCGTACGGCAGTTAGGGCCTAGCAGCAGTGGACCTGCAGTCCCCCAGGGAGGTGGTCCCAGATTGTGCAGCCTGAGAGCCCTACTGTGGGACCTGGTCCAACATTCACCTGTCCTGACCAGGCAGTGCACCGGCGGCATCAGTTCAGGTTTTTAGTTGTTAGCTTCCAACTTTACCATCCCCTTCCTTTTCTAATACCTTCCAGTCCTTTTCCCAATCTGCTTATGTATGTTACACCCCCCTTTCCCCTACATTCCAATCCTATAACCTGAAAACATAGAAAATAACTGGGTGAAATGATCTCAATTAGAGACAACATCCTAAACATTTCCAATTTTTCCACACAGGACCAAACTAGATATCAATTGTGATGTTATCCTTGTTTTTTAAATGAATAACACTAGCTTAAATGATAATAACTATGACGATACAAACACCCATGTTTGCTTTGAAGTCTTTATTATCCTGAATATAAAAGACAGAAGTCTTCTAGGATATAACAGAGTTCTTTATGTGGAAACATTATTTTTTTACAGTGAAAAAATAAATACCTCTTGGAATAAAGGTTTATATGCTAATATGTGCCATAAAAAAGTAGAGTTTTAATATTTGACAAAATGTCTGTGCAAAGAAACAAATGCATAAACACATTACTGCTACATTAAGGCAATATGAAAAGTATACTCAGAAATCTCAGTAAAGTGACAGTGTAGGTTTCTAGCTTTACCTTAGCTAGTATTGCACCCGATAAGGTCATCTAGGTTCCCTGACATCCCAGAAAACCTGCTAGCTGACCAGCTTCCAAAATGCCCAAGTGGGAGTGGGAAACATGTTTAAGAATACCGAGAGAAAAAAAACCCTCTGAAACATATAGAGAGGACAACACAAATACTTAAGCATTTACTTAAAAAAACACAATCCCTCCCCACCCCAAAAGCAGACACAAAAAGGATACAATATCTAGATAATGTATGATAAGGCTGTAAAAGGCTGGATAGTTCAAGCAAAGCGACACCCATGGGTGAGGCTGGAGTTGAGTGCTTGAGAGAAGTGACGAACCACTGTCTCTCCGGTAAGCTCTGCTTCCCCTTCCCAAGCAGAATGCGCATCCTTCTCAATCTGGATAAAATATTCTACCAACTCAAGAGGCTCGAGGGGTGCTTGACTACTACACAGAGATCTTATGACCAAATTGTTAGCATTCTATAATCGAAAGGCTTGGGGGGAAGGGAGGGAGTGAAAAGAAGGAACAGGAAGCCACCCACGTTGAGTGATCTGCTTTCCCCTAGCCAGACTGGTTTAAATCTGACAACATTGTTGTCAACTTTTTAAAAGTCACAGAATTGAATTTTAAATCTGTTTGCCTTCAATCATTCTTGAACAAGTTATACAAACAGAAATGACATTAAAACGACAACTCTTTAAGAAAAATTTTCCTATTAAAAATGTTTGGAGCTCCATGACCATACAAAATGAACCAGGTAAATTCTTAAAACTAATTCTTACAAAATCTGCCGCAGGTAGGAAACTTACCTTGGGATACATTAAGGAGACTTAACAACATCATTTCCTAAAAGGTACCCAACTTTCTTGGCTGTGTTATCACTTAACTGACATCGAAGATTTTATCTATTCCTTTACTTGATCATAAAAAATGAAAGTCCAAGGAATGTGTCTGTTTCCCAGAGCTCTTCCTGGGCCCATCAATGGAGTTGATTCTATGCATGGATATGTTTTTGTAGTGAGAAGCGGTTGTGTTCTTATTTCTCTTCTCTTTTTTTTTCAAACGTTGCATGGCAGATGGGTGTTGGAGTAATTATTTTCTCCATGATCTAATCACTTGTATAGTTTATAATAGTGCAGTTCATGGAAACATGGCAAGTCCAATAAATGCACAATAGATTAGATTACAGTTAGATTGAGAAGACTGGTGTGAGTTGGCAGATAGACGTGCTGGACGTGCTCCACAGGTG